CTCCCTAAACTTTTGTAAAAAAATTAGTTTAGTCCCTTATGTTTTATTGTTATCTTTTTTATCTTTAATTATTCCATATCATTTTAATCACTTCCTAATATTTATTGAAGATTACTTTTCGTGATAGTGAGGAAGATTAGAAAATTAAAGCTAATATGAGATATAAGAAAAAGTAAAAATTAATTGAATTAAAATTGTTCATCCTCATCTTTTTATGAAGTGTCTGCTCATTAGTATGTTTATACTTTCTTTTGCTTTGTTCATAATATATATTCTTCTATTTAACATATAATAATTTTTATCTTTCAACTGATAGTGTTTATACTAGGTTAGCAAATATCAACCACTATTAGTGTATCATTAAAGACAAACAAATTTTATTCACTAAATATTTTTTCGCTTTTCAAATTGATACACAAAACAATCATCTATTGGTCAAAATTTCATTATGCACCTCTTAAAAATATTTTTTGATTCCATTGCTTAAATTCTATTTTAATAACTAAATCAAGTGAGTGTTAAAAAGTATATTAAAGTAGAAAGTATAACAATAATTTTTTAAATCTATCTCTCTATATATATAATGCTACCCTATGCATTAAATAGGGTGTGCATTTATATATATAAGTAATAATAATTAAATTTACATATAATATAAGAACTGGAAAAATTAATCATTTGGTAGATGAAAAGGCACGACTCTAGTAATTAATTTCTCAATTGAAGATAATTTAAATTAATATTATAGTACGATAATTATTAATTATTAATATTGAAAAGATAATAATATATAATATACGTAATTGAAAAAATTAATCTTTTTGTAGATGAATAGGCCAGACCATATATAGCCAAATAATTTATCAACGGAAAACAATTTAGATGAATATTATAGGGTATACAAAATATTCATATACAAAATCTATACCTAATTTCATTAAATAGTGTATGCATTAATGTAAAATATAATATTATAGTAATTTACAATGTTGAAACAAAATATGCAAAATATATGACAATTATAAATTACAAATAAATGACAAAAATAAATGAAAATTATAAAAGATAATAAAAGTGATAGATAGGTAAATAATTGAAAATTGTAAATGATAAAAATAATTGATGAATAAATGTGATGGATGAAACAATGTTATCTTAATATAAAAAACTAAAAGTTTAAATATTTAAAAACTCTTAAATGAAGATAATGAGAGTTAATGTTTAAACGTATAAACACATACCCTCCCATGATCTTTAATGACATCTTTTTTCCATGATTTTTCTCTATGCTCTTCCATCTTCTTGCCCACCCCTAATCATTAGTCAATTTCTCTATACCAATATATCATATTCTCCTCTTCATCACTATAATTTCTTTTTACTAATATGGTGAGTTCCATATATATATATATATATATCTATATTTTTTTTTTCATGTTTCATATTGTAACTACATATATTATTATGTTTTTATTTTCTTGT